AGCTGATAGGACCTGGGAACCTGCTTCAGAATGCAGGCTCCAGTCATGGTGTTTGCAGTGATAAGCAATCTCAGCGCTCACAGAGCTTCCCCCTACTTGTCAAGAGACAAATGTTATCCATCAACCCTGCAAACTGAAATCTATATTCATCTCGTCAGTTCTGAAACTCATGTAAGGTCTCTAAACAGCTTCTATCAGCTACAAAAATTGAACTAATTTTATTCCTACTGCTAACAGTCCTGGGGAGTTCTTTGTAGAGAGCAAAACAATGGAAACTTGTGTGGCACTCGCACCCAAGCGCTGCGTGGAAGCGCCCTGAGCCGCGCTCCCATCCCGGCACAAGGACGGCTTTGTCCCACGCTGGGGCAGTGGGGCAGCTCTGGGGCCCACGCGCTACCAGGCGCACTGGGAGAGAAGGGAGAGGAGAATATTTTTGCAATTAATGAAAACAATTCACCGAGGCTAAAAGATGTCCCTGCCTTAAAACTGCCTCTGACACTTTGATAGAACGCAGTGTTTGCGGCCAGTTTGAAGCTGACAGATGGGTACACAGACATGCATCTAGCCTGGCCTTTGCCCATGTGCACGCAGAAAGTGCTGTTTTATGTTCAGATATGAGCACTATTAAATATTGACTCATCCCCTCCTATTATTTTCTGCTCCATTATCTCATTTTCACAAGCATTTAAAATTCTTCACCTTTCTGGTCATTCAGAAGTTGCATTTTGTCTGCCTGCCCTCCTGCCCGTCAGTAATGGAGAACTCCCAGCCAGGGCACATTGCACCCCAAACAACCCCATGAGGCTTTTGCTCGCAAGAGGGATTCATTGAGACTGGCACTGAGCTCCTGTGCTCTGCTAGTACAAATCTGTGTTTGGTGCAGATGCTCTGCACTCCATCCCACAGAACAAATGCTCATGCTGTTTTCTGAAGCTGAATTTTCCTTCACACTGTGGGCTGATTGCTCAGACCGGCTGTCCTGGAAAGCAGAAAAATAGGAGATTCGATGAAAGTGCCTGGGCTGGGTCTCCACAGCCCACAGTGCTGGGCAGCCCTAGGTGCAGGCACACAGCTGTGGTTTTGCTGAACCAGCGCTGTCTCACCTGCAGAAATCCAGGTCAGTAAACCAGCACTGCACAAATAGATCTTTTTGCCACTACTGCACTTTTTCCACCAAGCTCACATCCGTGTTCAGATTTGCTCTGAAAATTACACTCTGTGAACTCTAGAGAGAGCTCTCCCCGCTGTGTCTCAGATGGCTCTGCTGCTGTACAGCTGTGCACTGGGTCTGAGCCTGAATATTTCTAAGGAGCAAACCAACAGTTGGAGGAAAGCTACAAAATCACTGTGCCACATCTCCTATGCTGCCTTCTTTGCATCTCCATAATGCATCTCGGTGCTGAGAAAGGGGCACCCAGCTGGCTCCTCCTGGTCTGCACCCCCTGATGCTGCTGGCGATGGTCACAGGCTGGGTGGGCACGTGTTTCACAGGATGTGGGATTCAGTGCCTTGAGAGATGGTTCTGAGCACAAACAAGTGCTGTCGATGTCACGGCATGGCTTCTGCAAGCCACTGATCTACTCAAACTAGTGTTGGAACTGAGTCCAAGGACATCAGCACAGTTGGTTACAGCAGAGCGTAGATGCTGCAAGTAAATCAGATTCAAAGTTAAACAAAGAAAAATTGGTGGGCTAATGAGATACGAACCTAATAACCAGGACTCATCTGCACCTGTAATCACAAGCTCAGATCTCAGCACAAGATGTAGAAGCTGTGCAAGGAGGAGGTGGATGCTGGCATAGAGGGAGCTGTTAGCAGACAGGCAGACTGAAGCCAGTGTACAAATGCTTCTAGGAGAGATGGCAGTGTGATGAGCAGTATGGCCCTGCAGAGTGACTGCGAACTTTTCAGGTTCTGCGTTGTTTTCAGATTCGCATTGAATTAATTTCCAAGCCAAACACACTCTGTTTTAAGACCTGCAGTACTGTTAAGGCTGACAGGCCTGGCCATGATTTTACAACTTATTTCTACAATCTGTTGAGGCCAGATAAGGCAGGTTTCTGGTACGTGTAGGAAATTGCTGTAGATACAAGGCGTATCAGTAGATATGTCGTCCCGGGTAAAGCATGGCAAACCTCAGCGAAACCTCCTCCAAACAGCCGATATGCACCAAGATAAAGATTATCTGCCAAGTTCCTGATTTCCCTTCATCAGAATATCACCGCAGAAGCTGATTTTCCTCAAGAAGACTCTTTTCAGAATGCAGCCTGTTTTGTTTTTTTTTGGCATGCATTTCAGAAGAAGTCCTCTGTAATCTCCCAGGCAAGGTCAGCTGTTATTGTGCTGCCATCAATAATCTCTTCTTAAGCGTACACCGCTCAGCTCAGAGGGGAGTTTATGGCTGCACTACATCTTTATTAGGAATGAACACCACCTTTGCCACTGCTGAGCTGGTTCCTAGCTATTTATTAAAAGCTGACACTGACCCTCCAGCTTCAACAACATTCAATCAAATTGTCCAGAACTCCACAGAAGTGTCAGCCGAGGATCTATCTGGAAATGCTGAGCATTGAAGCTTCACAAAATGACTCCTTTCTTCCCTTCAGAATTTCTCCCATAGATAGATAGACACCGGTTCAGAGAAACGTAAGCAGGACTTGAACCCAAATTTCCAGCTTTGTTGTAACACGGAGATGTTGGTGATAGAGTACTGCTTTGCTGCAGGCTGAGAAGTATTTGTCTCACCGTGCAGCCAAATTCCACATGTGATCATGGCACGGAGCCCTCACCAGGCTGCTGCAGCCATCAGCCCCGGCCCAGACAGTGACATCACCCAGTGAGAGCACCCTGCATGCCTGGGATGGACGCTGTGAACTGTGCACGGTGTAGCTGGTTATTAAATAAATTATTGCAAAAACTCAGGTCCTGTTAATTTTTATCCCAGAATAATTTCTTTAGCTTATGCACGAGCCAGCTAAATAGCCTTCAATTCAGCAATGCTGCCGTGCTAATTTTCACGCTTGCAAACATTGACATCCTACCTACAGACTACAACAAATTGTTCAAAAATCATTTTGTTCTCTTAAAAGGATTCCCTCCCTTTGTGTTCTGTTTATGTTAAGCAGTCAGCATGTATGCATGGTTAAGTTTCATTAAAAATTTTGCAAGTCTGGTTTTGAACTGAATATGCCTTACAGCATGATTTTGAGCTGAAGGACAGCTCTCAGCTTCCAGCCTTAGCATAAGCCAAGGGATCCGGTCTGACCTGCAGTTATCCTCGCCTTCCCCAGGTATGCGTGGCCAGCAGCAGCTCCCGGGCCCCAGTGCCTTCCTTCATCCCAAGGGATGTACAAATGCTATGAGGATTTTCTCTCTGTTCAGAAAGCAAAGCCTGTTGAGGTCGTGCTCTGCAGTGGCACAATTAGTGCCCATGGCCAGGCTGGCCCCATCACCCCCAACTCATACCTGCAGGCCTCCAACGCTGGGTGTCCTAATGCTGAACAGACTATTCATCTTTGAAAGAAAGACCTTTGGTAGTTTTTGATAAGTCTGTGTTATTCTTCCTTCACTATCAACAGCAGTGCTGTATTAGATCCTAAAAGCCATTTTTGGTTTTAAAATGTGGTCTGTTAAGGTTATTGTTAGCATTTTAGGCTTTTAGCAAAGCGGTCTTATGAAATTCTTGTCCATTGGACAGGAGCACTTCCAACCATGCCACTCTCTCCTGCTCCTGAATAATAATGCATCTCCTCTTGCTGTTCTTTTCCCAGGATGAATCTCCATACGGATTGCTGGGATCTCCTACTGGGTGATGCCACAAAGTCTCCTGCAGCAATGGATGGATATGGCTGAGCTCACCTGCTGTGTGCAGCACGCTCACTGCTGCCTGCCAGCTAGCCATGCTGCTAAGTCCCCTAAGTCACAGGTTCCTGACGTGCACTGAACTTCTCAAACCAGGCGGCAGCAAAACACAGAGCTCCTCGCACAGTGGCTGTGTGCCTTTAGTGGTGCTTGTGATGTTGCTTGTAACCTCAAGCTGTGTGCCAAAGTGAGCACGTGCAAACCCGTCCTAATGCTGAAGCGGGAGCACTGCAGGAAGCCTGTCCTTGTGGGGGTGAAGCTCAATGGCAACTGATTCTCTTTGGATGGATGATGGAACACTAAATCAGAGGGATGCAGAGCTGCAGTGGAGGGACAGAGTTAGGGCTTTGCTGGAGAGCTACAGCACTGTTGGCACCATGTGAGTGGATGCCATCCTCGGCTGAGTCGCAGAATCACAGAAACACCAAGGTTGGAAAAGACCTACAAGATCATCCAGTCCAACCACCCACCCATCACTGATAGTTCTCACTAAAGAACCCACGGGCTCACACGGTGGGGTGCAGAGCGGTGAGCAGCCCAGCTCTGAGTGACGGGGCTTGACTTTGGCCTTCTCACAGCGCTCGTGTGGGGACAGCGATGGTAGGAAAGGTGGAAAAGTCGGACAGGAGCATCTGAGAGAGCGCCTTCGGTGCGCGGGGAGAAGGGTGACCCGCAGGGTGAGACGGCCCGGCCGTCCTTCGGCAGCCTCGCGCTCAGCTCTGCGGGTTTGTAGTGCCGACTTTGAACGCACAAAGCGGAGCCGCCGGGAGGACTCTCGGAGCGCCCTCGGCCATCACGTCGCAGCCCCGACGGGAGGGAACCTCCGCGTTCGCGGCAAGATGGAGGCTGAGCCGCCCGGCCCCGGCCCCCGCCCCGCGCCCCCTCCCTCCCATCCCTCTCTCCCACAGGCCGGCGGCGGGACTACGAGTCCCAGCGCGCCGCGGGCCGGGAGGGCGGAGCGGGCTTTGTGCGGGCCGCGCGGCGGCATGCGGGGGAGCCGCCGCCGAGCCGGAGCCGGAGCCGGAGCGAGCCCGCCCCGGGGGGAGGGCGAGGGCGGCGAGCCATGACGGGCGGCGGCGCGGCGTGCTAGAGGGCGAGCGCGGGGCGCGCAGCAGCGCGGAGGGGCCGCCGCCGCCGCCATGGGGAACGCGGGGAGCGTGGACTCGCAGCAGACGGAGTTCAGGGCGCACGGCGTGCCCCTCAAGCTGCCCATGCCCGAGCCCGGGGAGCTGGAGGAGCGCTTCGCCGTCGTGCTGGTGAGTGCCGGCCCCATTGTCTGCGGGGCGCGGGGCGGGCGGGCTGGCCGGCGGCCTCCGCGGCGGCGCGAGGGGCTGCGGGGCGGCGTGGAAACGGCTGGAAACGGGAAAAGTTGCGGGCGGGGCCGCCCCGAGACGCGCCGCGGCCGCAGGTGGGCTCGGGTCGGCGGGGCGGAGCGGGCAGCGGCCGCGGGGCTTTGTCTGGCGGCGCCCGGAGCCGCGCCGCTCGCGGGGAGCGCTGCCGGGGGGCGGACACCTGCGGGCGGCTTGGGGTCTTCGGCTCTCGCCGCCTCTTTCCCTTCACCTGGAGAGCACAAAGGGCTGGGCGGCCGGAACGGCGCTCCTCCGGCCGCTCCCGGGGGAGGGCAGAGCTGTGTCCGGCAGCAGAAGTCGCCGAGTGCGTTCGGGCGCTCGATAGGTAGTGCCGCTGGGTTGCGGCAATGCGTAACTCCTCGGTGGAACTCTTTGGAACGATGCGAAACGCAGAAGCGGGGCTGCGAGGAGCCCGGCTCCCCGGGCTGCGGCCCCCGCCGGCATCCCCGCTTTGCTGAGCGCCCCGGTGGGGACCGCGCGGCCGCGTTCGGGATTATTGCCGGTTAGACCCAATTAGATTATCGTGTCTAAGAAAAGAATAAGCCTATTCAGCCGGGAACCCCCACTGGTGAGCCAAATGGCGAGTGAGATGTTATGATTATTAGTGTGCTGGAAAAAGCCTGATCTCATCGTGCTTCGTCGGGGAGAGCGACGGTGGTTGTGCTGCTGGGATCTGTTGAAGGCTCGGGTCATCCTGCTTACCAAAAGGAGCTGGCTAGGTCTGTGTGTGCAGAGAAAAGTGGTGGTTTTGAGTTGGGACTGAGTGTCTGGCTTGGTTAAATGTGGAGACGTCATTTGGGGAAGGTTTATGGAGGAGCAGACTCCGAGGCTGTGATTAGTTGGTTTTCTCTGCAGCTCAGAGCGCTGTGCCTCTGGTTAAACCCAGCGCTGGGCAAGCTGTAGGAAAGCAGAGATAAATGGGAAAGGAATGGCAGTTGGAGGAAACCATAAATGAGTATGTTCTGCAGCGAGAGTGCCGAGTGTGGAGGCAGGAAGGCTGAAGTTTGCAGGACTCCATCTCACCTCAACACTGCTTTGGGAAGTCAGCGTGGCACAGCCGTGCCTTGCACACCGCCGACATCCCGAAGGGCTTTGCTGACAGCAGTGATTTTCTTCCTGCTAATGGCACTCCGAAGACCGTGTTTGATGCTAACGGACGTGCAGCTTAGTGATGTTGCAGCTGCGTGCTCCATTTGTGTATAAACAGTGGGGCCATGCAGGAAAGGTTCTTCCCGTGCTGCCTTACCAAAGCACTGGGAAATTTCATGCTTCTGCAAAACCAGCGTGATGATCCGTAGCCCTCAGAACCACACACACACCATTAAAAGGGTGCAGAATGCCAATATTCCTGCCGTAAATGCTGTGACCTTAGCCATTATCTTACTTGTTCCACGTGGAGCATGCTGCCCTGACCTTCTGCATCCCTCTGTGGTCTGTGCAGCCAGCAGCTCAGCAGCACAGTGCCTGGACGTGGTCTCTGCTGAGCTCTTAGCAGCCATCCTTTGGAGGAAGGTCTCTGGTGAAGAGTTTGCCCACCTCCAGCACACACGGTCATCTTGTTGCCTCCTTGTTGGCCTCACGCTTTGAGGTCTGAAGTGCACACGTCGCAGGAGGTGATGGAGAAGTGCTCCAGGTTGCTGCTTTTTCAGTAAAGCTTCCAAATCTATTGGTGCTGATGGGCTCCTTCGCATGTAATGGTGCTGTTGGCATTACTGAGGATGGGCTGAGCATGTGTGCAACACACGGGTGAGGGATGTCAGTGCCAGCTCTGGCTGCCTTGTGCTTCCTGTCCCTGCAGTGAGCGACATGAGGATTTTCCCTGGGATTGTGTTGCCTGATGAAGTAAACCCACCTCCCTGGATTCCCTGGGGCAATGAGGTTTTACTCTTTTTTGCTTGAGGACCAGGCGTCATCTCCTGCTGTGTTTCAAGAATACAGTGCATATGATGGGACCCACTTAAAAGAAAAACGTGAAGGATAATCTGAGGGAGATCCAGGTTTCTCTCTGTGAGCTAAGTGTCATTTTTTCCATCCCATCCAACTGACAGGAGTTCTTCCCTTTTGTTAGAACATGAGACAACCCATTGGTTTCAAGCCTGTGCAACAGGGTAAGGTCCAGTATGGTGGCACTGTGGTTCCAGCCTTCCTCCAGCACGTTCCCAGGTCCCAGCGAGGGGTGCAGGACAGTCCAGCAGCACCAGCACCACCTCCTGGTGTCCATTCTTGGCACCATCCCTCTTCATCTGTGTTGGATTTTTCTGGTTTTCTGCTATGGACACGCGAGCAAGTGTGCATAAATCAGTAATTGTAGTAAGCAGCCCTGATATACTGAATAGGAAGGCGTTGTGCAGTGTGTGCACGTAGACTTGATGGCACCGGTACCTGGGAGAGCTTGGGGGTGCAGGAGCCAGCAGCTCCCACAGCAGGGTGGTCTGCCTTGAGCCGGTAGCGGCTTCACGTGTTTGCAAATGACACATGGTTCAGAGGAAGCAGCCAGGACAAAGTTGGCAGGGTGAATTGTTGCCTAATGAGCTGTGATTGACATAATTTGACTGCTGGATTACATATCTGCAGTGAGGTTAACAGGAAATATCCTCTTATCCCTACCAAGCGGTGCTCCGCTCTACAAAGGGGGTTTCTGTGTCCGGTGCTGGAGAACAGAGCGATGTGCCTGCAGGGCTGCACGGGGCAGGGGGTTCTGCTCTCCTGCTCCCAGCCCTGCTCCTGGCTGAGGGGATGCTCCTACCTGAGGGCAGCGTGTCAGCTCTGCTGCTGGGAGCTTCTTTGTGCTGGCTCAGGTTCCTTCTGCAGGGAGGTGCGTCTGAGCGTCCTTTTCCAATCCAGGCAAGAGTTTCGTAGTGTCTATTGCTAAAGAGTTTGAAAGCTCGGTGTGAAAAGTCCATGACGTTTCCCAGCTGCTCTCCATTCTTTTCCCTAATCCTCTATCAGCTATATTATGCATTGTGTTATAGTATGGACAGTTTAGCATCTGCAAACCATTAAGGAGTGTGACATTGTTGCAGGAGATGTCTGGGCGCTGGCATTGCTGGGGCGCTGGGTTCTGCGCTGTGGTTCCTCAGCGTGGCAGGGCTCACGTGGGTGTCAGTCACCTGCTCTTGTACCAGGCCAAGTTCGTGCTGGGTTTATGGGGTTCAGAAAGCGATACGGTGGAGACTGAGGGGTGCTAGGTTAGCCTTAGGAGCAGTGTTGGGAAAAGCAGATTCCTAAAATTTAGCTATTGTAAGGACCTGTTGTGTTTTCTTGCTCAGGCCCCACTGGCTGATTTCTGCCTCTTTCCTCAGGGTCTCATTGGAGTGATTTGAGCAGTGACGCTTTTTTTGGAAGAAGCAGGCTAATAAATCACATTTCCTAAAACCAGATATTTCTGATGGCTTACATTCACAGGGTGAACTGTCACTTCATGGTAAAACATCTATCAGGCTGGCGTGTGAGTAAATGACATTTGTGAGTCTTTCTGCTCAGAAATTGCAGTAGAATATTTGCAGATCTCTGTTTGGGTGGCTGAGACACAAGGGTGGTCAGTGGGTACTCAGCTAACAGCAGGAGATTCGCCTTGCTGAAACTTCAGTGCCTGGAACGTGGAAGACTTCAAAAATGGCTAAAATGATGCATATGTATGTATTTTCCAGTGTGCTGTACTTCCACATAAAAATAATCGCCTTAATTTGTCAGGCCTCTGTGACAGAGGTATGAACTCATTCTGTCAGACTGCGTGTGTCACTGCCCTGTGACTGCGGTGTGCTGGGGGCAGTGGTGTGCTGGGGGGTCCTGCAGGGTGCCTGGGGTGCTGGGCATGGAAACCTGCCCCCTGGCTCTGTGCAATTAGCTAATGGTGGGGGAGAGCCTCTCCTGATCCTTTTTATGCCATCACGATGTTGTGTTTCCTTCCGAAAGATGCTTTGTTCGGGTGCTCCTTGCTGTGACAGGTGCCTTGAGCCCAGCCCCAGCTCCATAGAGCAGTATTCTTCCCAGGCTGCTCAGAAGGTGGGTGAAGGTGTTGTCAGCCAGCAGCTCTGACTGCAGGGGTGTGACTGCCGTGCAGCAATTCCTGGTTTTCCCATTCCAGTGAAACCGAGCTTTGACATTCACTTTCTGATCGCTTGTTTGGTTTTTGGAGCGTTACTGAATAGGAGATCTAGTGCCAGCTCTTCACGTTTCTCCCAAATACATTCTTAATCAGGAGCAGTCAGGATTTCTGCTCGTTTCTCAGCATTGCTCCTTCCAACTCTGTAACAGAAAAGTGAAAATGAATCTGTTCTACCTCTCCTTTTCAGAAATAGGAAATCCCCGCGAGTTCCCAGTTTTGCTTTCCCTCTGCTGCTTTGGAGCGATGCCCTGGGAGCAGGGCTGGCCGTGTCCCATGGGGCACAGTGGTGTCCTCAGCTTGGCTTCTCTTTAAGCTGCTTTTAAGTCAAGTTGCTGAAGGGCTGCTCCTAAACACCATTCCTAAATAGCAGAAGCTGCACATTTAGAAGCATTTAACAAGTGCTAAGTCCTGTGTTCTGCTTGTCTCTTCCCAAAGAGCGGCCTTCCAGTGGGCTGGGTTCTGCTGGGCTGTGTGCGCTGGAGCTGAGCTCTGCCTGCAGCACGTGCAGGAGCTGCACCCTGACCTTGTACGAAGCGCCGACTGGAGAGCTCTCCACAGCACAATGAAATCAATTATGCAAAACATGCTAATTCAGCAACACTCTCCAGCACCAGTTTATTTTTAAGCATCTGGGCTGTCTCACGCGTTTGAATGAAGCGCATTATGATCAGGCTCCAAATGCTTTCTGATGCGGGAGACCATGAAGAAAATAGCGAGAGCAGGGCTTGCATTTGTCGGTCCCCTCCGGGCTGTGCTGCCAGAGCCGTGTGGTGCCACAGGCAGGGCTGCTGCAGCATTC